CGTGCTGAGTAACATTTCCTCTCTTCTTCTACACCCCACTCCCCCCATCCCAAGGGTGACAGTCTTTATTGAGCCTAACAGGATTCCTAATAAAAGCTGCATTCAATCTGTATAAGGAACCTGCTGAATCACTGAGAAGCAAATAATGGCATCGGGCTGGAGGGAGCCTCCCAGTTACAGCTTACACAGCTTGTGCTCTGCTCCAAGAATTAGCTCTGTTTGCTTTACTGAAATCTAGGCACTTTAAATAACAACTTTAATACAGAGAAATTCAGACACTGTCCAAGAGGCTATTAAAATCCTTGTCCTGATACCAAATGAGTGCTTGATTCCACAGGAGTTTGTTTCCAGCGTTGTTTCTGCTCAGAGCACTGAAAAGGGGGAAGAAGCTAAGCAGCATGCAAACAGGAAGGTACCTTTCAACCATTCAGCTTCCTTCCCTGGAGGATTTTGTACGATGGTTTTTTTGAATGCCATTGGAATTTGGGAGGCTGTTGCCATATGGTTTAACTGTTGGTAGGAATGTATGTCTACTTCTTTTAAAGTATAGTCTCCGTAATATGGCTGGATCTTTAGAAAATGCTAATACTTTGTTTGCTCTGAATGAAACATATAAAAATGCATCTTGCTTAACTGCCTTAGCTCAGAAAAGGAATGCATGCAAAATCCCATCAGTCTTCCTTCGTGTTTTTGTAGAAGCAGGTTGTTTTGTGTAACCCAGGGAATACTGGGTAACTCGGGGAGCCTTGAGTGAGCCAAGCATATGTTCTTGCAACAGGAATTTAATGTGTATGGGATGGATTGAGAGACAGGTTTTGTGCAGCTCTTTGGGACAGGTTTGCATGTGAGAGCCATCTGTCTGGAACTTGCTGACACAGCTGGTTTTACGTGCAGCTTTGAAGTGCTGGTGCTCTGGTGCAGGTTTCTGCTCTTTTCTCACTCCCTGAGCAAAACTCTGGACTGACTGAATAATACTTGCCGTCTGCTTTCTTTGGGACCCCTTGTTTCAGGTTCAGAGTGGATTTAGGGTATCTGTGAAGCCCAGGCTTGTTGGAATTTGGGAGCATCCCTGAGTCCTGGCCCTGCTGCAGCGAGCAGCTGTCCCACGGCTAGTGCCGGTGGACTGGGACTGGATGCAGCTGTTCCGGAGCTGGGCTGACTCTGCCTACTGGCATGGACATAACATGACAGGAAGTGCTAAAAGGAGTCTGTGAGGATTTATTGCTTCCTCAGCATCCCTAATACCTGATTGCAATTGCTGAGGTTGTCTCTGTGTGAGATTAATCAGAATTTGCAACTATGAGGTAATTTCAGAACAATTTATTTTCCTTAGAAATAGACCAGATTTCCTGTTTAGCGTTTAATAATAGTAATAGTAATAATATGTTACTGGAACACCTGGCTGCCGTCACATAAAGTGAAGCATTTTTTTTTTTTTGTGTTTTTGAGGGGCAAAGTTGCTTTTGATACAGTCATTCCATCCTTGTTTCAGAGCTGTTTTTGTTTTTTTTCCCCCCCCCCCGCTGCTTTTACCCCCTTTTAATACCACTGGAGGATTTGTCTTGGACTTTGTTGTGGACTTAAAGCATCTGGATGCAACTCATGTGCTCATGTATTACAGTTATGCTGGCTGGAGTTGTTGAGAAGCTTTGTGATCAGAACTCCATGTTCGAGACCACTGTTGTTCCACTGGAGCCTTAATTCCAAGCTTTGTAAAGATACTCCTTGGATTAAAGGCCAGAGATTGGGTGAGAAGAGGGTGAAGCAAAAGGAAGTGATACCTACTTGCAAATTTTTCTTATCATTGGTGTTGTTGCACTGTGGTGCTTGTTCAGAAGCATCCAGATCTTGGTCATATTTTAAAAAGATGCCAATAGTGAAACATAAGGGTGACAGCCACTTCCTCAGCAATTTTGAGTTTGGATTATATTTTCCTGATGATTTTTCTGGCTGACTGTACTTACTTCTTTATTTTACAAGGTTACATCTTAACAATTAAGAAACTAATATTTCACCATCCTTGCAGAAAAAAAAAAAAAAAAGAAATAGGAGCAAATTATTTTCAAAGAAATATTTTGGAATAAATGGGTGATGGTGGTAGTTAGCTGGTGGCTTTACTTTTGTGTAGTGAGTTTTTAGTTGATGCTTCTTTTGTTTTGTCCTTTATGATATCTCTGAGAGATCTGGCAGGGAAAATGAGAAGTGGTCTGGATATTCAGGTGGCTCACTTCAAACTTTATTGGGATGAGGATGCTACCATAAAAGAATATATATTTATATGACATGATATTGTTACTAAAATCTCTGTGTTTTTTATACCACCTTTGGTTTAGCAGCTGGTTAAGCTCTTTGCTGGAAGAATATGTGTGCTGGAGATGATAAAAACCAGTGCTGAAAGAAGCTGAGGCTGCTGGTGACCACGCTTTTGTGATAACAGCATCATCCACAGAACCATCCCTTGGTTTCTGCACTGCTGCTGAAGCACATGCTATTTTATACAGTGTATTCTGTCATGGGAAGAATTTGAAGACACAGATGTCCTCTGCTTTTTTTTTAAACACATCTGCTGTGAGAACTGGAGGCAAAGAATGATCTGTCCTGTACAGCCTTTTATAGGATCACTGTAGTTGCAGTGTTCATGTTTCTTCTCTATGGTGTAGAAAATCTCCTTTCTAATAGGATTAACAACTGCCTGATTACTCTTTGCCCAGTTTCCCACCTTTTCTTGGGTTGCTGGAACTGCAGTTTTAGCTAGTTGGATAGATAATGTGAGTTACTTTCTCTGTAAATAACCTTAGTCAAGGTTGTTTTCTGTCAAAGATTGAAGAATCTGTTGTGGGTGTAGCATTTGCAGATAGATCCTGTGCTGCAGTTTCAGCTATTGTTTCAGCTGATGAATAGCTCTGAAGATTTTTGCAAAATAAAATCATACTGACCTTGTTCTCTCTTCTGAGCATGTGGAGAAATTATATTTCATCAATAGTTGTGTCTTGGTTAGATTTTGATGGAAAAAAGTAAGTAAAGAGATTATAAAGAAGGATATGGAAAGGGGATGTAAAATTCCAGCAAATGTTTTGTGTTTTGCTGATATCATGCTGAATGTTGCCCTTTGGTATCATTTTTCATAGTGAGTATTGAAAAGTATTTGTGAAAATTATCTCTTCTCTTTGTACTGAGGTTGTGTGGTTGTCCGCTGTTTATAACTGCTGCGGTGAAATAAATCTGTTTATAAAAACAAAACTGAAAATCATATAGAAACTGTTGTAAACTTTGAGTTAGAAAAATAAATGCTTTCAGCTCTTTCCCCCTCAGTTGGAGGGGGATTTTTGGAAGTGCAGTGCAGCTGGACTTCAGCCTCTTTACACGAGGTAGCCACAGCCCCTGCCCATGTCTAGCCACCCTCAGATTAACTGATGTTCCTTGCCAGCAAAAATACAGAATGAGATGTAAATATAGTATGTCAAATGTAATTTCAGTGCTATTTTAAGCACTTAGTCTGAAATGAGTTGGAAGTATTGAAGAAAACTTCACAAGCTATGACTGATAGGTAATTTAAATTGTATTGGAAAAAACTGGGATATATGCACTACATGTACTATACCCTCCTGTGTTAGAATATGAAGTGGCATGTGAGGGAGAGGAGGAATTCTACCTGGTTGTATCTATTTAAGCAAGCGAAAAAGGTTTTTTTCACCGAGGCATGGAAAACACATTGGATGGGTACATTTGAGGTACTGGCAGTAAGACGCACCTTGCAGCCCTTCCCAGGAGACTGCTGAGTTAGTTCTTTTGCTCAGCGGCACCCAGAATCACCTTCTCTGCATGATAGGAGAGGGCCTTGCTTCAAAAGTCAGGTATTTTTGAGGAAAGTGTTAGTTCCTGATTTAAAATTCCCTATAGAAACTGCTGTGTTAGTAGCCAGTGTGTTTGGCTTGTTGATGCGTCACCTGGCTGGGTAGTGAATTACGTTTATCATGTAGCTTATTACATTTATTAACATTAGAGCAGTACTGTTGGGCAGTGTTAAGTTAAATGCCTTCTGCTGGGTGAGGGAATAGGAACCTTTGCCTTCCCTTTGCTGTGTTCTCTGCTGCTCCTCATCTCGACAGATGAGGTTGGAGTTGGGGGATGCTTTCCAGACATGCGTCCCTTTAAGCAAATGTTTATATCTTTAATTTACCAACTGTTTGTTCATCAGGCTCCTCAGTGGATCAGTACAGCAGTCCTGTGTGCTGCAGGTGGAGTGCAGGAGTCAGTTTAGGCTGAGTGAACTTGTAAAGGGGCTGAATTCTGGGAAGTTGTAGAGAATTTACAAGTCAGGATGTGGTCATTTTTCATATGCAGAAGTTAAAAGCTTTGTGATTGAAAGGGGAACATAGGCTCTGTTCTGCTTACAGTTTTCTGTAACTCATAACCACTGAACTGCTTATCTAAAACATTTTCGAGATGTTCTGTTACATCTTAGTCGCAGTTATGTAAAAAAGTACTGAAAAATGTAGGAAAACCTATATAGACATAATGAGTTAAGAAGACTTTAAAAATTCAGCTTTAGTTTTAAACAAATACAGATTCTCTTGTGGCTACCCAACTTTTACTGGAGTTGTGAGTATCCTTTTGGCCTGGGAGAGTCAGATATTATTCACTACTTTGCCACTGCATGATCTGACTATACAGTTGCTGCATTTGTGTGTAATGCTTTCAGGTGGAGAAGTTGAGGTAGTTCCCTGCTCAGAAACAGGGAAAGCTCAGTAATGGAGCTGTTGGTTATCTGAAATGACCCTTTGGCTGCCAGGTGCCCACCTCTGATAGGCTGTGGTTTGTTTGGAGTCCATCCATAGCTAGTGCTCCTGGATGGTTTCACTAATTAAATCATGTTTGTGGCAGTTTTGGAGGACTAAAATGAGATTGGACTGTGTGAAATTAGTGCTTTGTAAATGTGCTACAAGTTCAGGCCTTCTGTTTAATTTTCATGGGATTTGGTAATGACATAAAAACCAAAATCAGAGTTTTATTTGTTTTACATGGTCTGCAATTAGGTCTGACCTTTCATTTGGTACAGTGGTCCATATAAGTTATATTGCTAAACACGGCCTATGAAGCCAAAGAACTTTTCTGAAGTAAATCCATTGTAAATTCTGAGGCCAGCATTCATATTGATTTATCTTACATAAACACTGGATAAATAAATCCAGCATTTGAAAATTCGGAACATACCTTCTAAGACCAAGCTGGAGAGACTGCCCTGTGGTGTATAATGATTTTGTTTTGTGTGTATTTGACCCTTAATAGCCCACATATTCAGGACAGTAAATTAAGGGATGAATAGCCCTAGCGAGATGTTCACTGCCATGTGGTATGCACCATCAGATATTTTTGTGATTGAAGAGGATTCTGTCTGCTGAGAAGTTTAAACAGCCATCTCCTAATTACAGCTTCTATGTAAAGTTCAGTTTATAAAGCAAAATCATCTTCCATGTTTTAATATTTTTATTTCTGTGGTTGCTGGTGGATGACACTGAGGTCACTGCTGTGATGCTGACTAGTGGTAGTAGGAGTGAGAGGACTCTAAAGCTTTGTTATTCAAAGAGTATTTTGGAGTACTTTTTGATGTTCCCTCCAGACATGGACTGGGCTGAGCAAGAGAGGCAGTAGGATGGTGTAGTTTGTAGTGGGCCTACAAACTATGTCTGAGGTGGACATGGAAGAGTTTTTTTCTCTCTAAATATCACCCCTTTGCAATTTAAAGGTAGTCTGGTGGTTCTCTGCACCCTATATAGTGGCTTAGGTTTTCACTGGTTTTGAAAAATTCCTTCTTAAAGGGATCTTAGAAGGTTTCAGCAATTTTTGACCTTGGGTAAATCAGCCTGCTCTATTTGTCTTATTCTATGTGTTGCTTGCTGCTCTATTCATTCACATAAATAATATTTTCAGAGATATATTTAACAATTTCTTTTTTTCAGGTCAGTGTTTATGCATCAGTTGCGCTTCACTCTTTTCACTTCCACAGCTCAAGTGTAGACAGAGTTCTTCAAGTCTATGTGTATTCTGACCTATCTGTTAATCTGAGTTTTGTATAATTCTGTGTAATTTACTGCAGAATCTGAAAAGTAGCACTGAATGGATAGATGTGAATGAGATTGCTTATGTTTGGTTTGTTTTTTTTCCTTTCTCTTTCTTTTTAGGACTTGAATACTATCTATTCTTTCCTTCATGGACTGGACATACTATCACATTTCAGGGAACATCAGCTAAGGTGAAGTACTCTGCAGTTTGTTTTTTTTTTAGCATACTTACATCTATGACATTTTTGTGGAAATAAGCAGGGCTTTTGTCTGCCTGCAATTTAAGGTGGCTGAGCATTGGCTAAATCCATTGCTGAGTTAAGTCACTGCAATAATGTGGCAAAGAATCTAAACTAATTAGCTCTTCTAAGAAGGAAGGCAGAGCTTTACTTCCATTTGCCTACAAAGGACTAGACAGTGCCCTGTCTTAACTCCAGATTACAAAATAGTTTTCGTGCTTCAGACATTCAAATAGTCTTATAAAGTGGAAGGCCAACAAAGCACAGAAAGTGCTTTGGAATTAGTTTAGTTCCTTCAGTTCTGTTGCTATGGTAATTCGATAATGAAGAACACCATAATAATTTGAATTTTCCTGTTAAGCACATCTTTTGTTTAGAACAAAAAAATAGTTGAATTTGGGGTCTTAGAGCCTGAAGGTGATTCTACTGACATGTGATGATTAATGGCTTATGATCTTTGGGGATTAAAATTGAATTTAAACTTCTCTTCCTCTTCCCTCAGAATAATGTCATCAAGTGCCCGCTATGAGAGGTACAAGGGCAACCAAGTTCTCTTTTGGTGAGTACATAGCACTTGTTGGAATTCTTCAGCAGAAACATGATCAAAACTAATGTTTTGCATGTTGGTATATGTAATTTGCTTTTCAGTCATTGTCAATAATTGGTTAAAAGCTTTGGCAGAGGTGGTTTTAGCAGTAGTGCAGTGTTGATGTTTGAGAGATGCCCATGAGTTTCCAGCCTGGCTCCCACAGAGGGAGGGCGCAGGGGGAGAGTGTGTGTGTGAATGACACCAGGTGACTGAAAGGTAAACAGTGTCTCCTCTGCAGTCGTGGGAGCCCTGGTGACACTCAGTAGGTGGCACTATATTCCTGGAGCTGGCACTGCCTGCAGGGCTCCTTGTTCTAGCAGCCTGTACTGGAGAGGGATGGAGCTCAAACACCATCACTTTACATTGCAAAAATTAGTACTTATGGTTCTCTAGGTTCTTGCTGAGAGGCAAATACACTTTTATTTTCCTCATACTTTAGCATTGCTTATGGCATATTTATAATCTCACAGCTAGTCCTAGCTTTCTGTAAAAGGCACAGCTTCTAGCACACAGAGTCTAAATGAGTTGCCACCTGCTAGTTGGTGTGGTGGGTATGTGTGTCGCACACCTGCTCCAGTAGCAGGTCATTATCTGTGTGTGGGGTTGTGTGCTGTCCTGTATTTATAGCTTTGTGTGTACTTTGACTGGAATAAAATATTTTCACTAAAAATTTCATTTTAATAAAGTACATTTTTAAGATGAGTTAAACATCAAAATGTAAAGTATAAAAAACATTCCTTATGTGAATGTTAAAAGAAAAAAATCCTGGTCCAGTTGGAGTGCCTAGATTCTTACATATTGAACTGGTAGAGTGATAAGTCATTATTTTACTACAATAATATTTTGGGTAATAGAATTCTAAGGTGCTGTAAGGAGAAGTACATATCAGTGATTTCTTTTCCTACAGCTCAGAAACTATTGCAAGATGCTGGTATATCCTGCTTTCTGGATCTGTGCTCATGAAAGATTCAATGTTTTTGCCACCTTGCAGGTATGTAAAATAATTGAGTTATTGTTATTATTTAACGCAATTTTTTAAAATAAATGCTTCCTATGTATTTGTGTAACTGTAATTTTTAAAGAATTTAAAAATTTTATAATTTTGTTTTTCTAAAGCTTGATAGTGAAATAAATGTTCAGCTAATTCAATTTAAACTTTCTCAGATTTTTCTGCATGTTGAAATTTCTTTGTGAAATACTTCACTCAGTCTAGTTTGGATTTTTAAGTTTATAAAAGAATTTGTAGTCATCTAATTACCTTAGGGTCTCTTTGAATAATTTGTGCTGTGTGACTGTTCTGAATAGAGTTCCCCGTTGCAAAAATACAACTGCAGATCACATAGGTTCTGCCATTTGGTTGGAGGCTGTATTTAATGGCACATAGGATTTTTATGTGAAGCAAGAAGGGACCAGCAGCATCAGCTGTGGAGAGCTTGTGCCAGGAGCCCCTCTGTGTCTCAGGGCTGAGACACAGGGAGCACTGACTTGCTTTCACTGAAGCACATTATTAGACTTGAGCTGAATTTGGGCAACTAATACCCTGAGTACCCAGAGTAATACTCTACTTGACCTTGCAAATCACTCATTTTAATTTCATTATGTTTCACTTGATTCAGCATGAGCTGACCATGAGTGGATAAACTTAATGCCAGCTCCAGCTTACATATATTTCCATATACTTGAATTTCATAGTAAGTACTAGTATGAACATATAGGACTGAATTTTTCAACTCAGTTAATTGTAGGCTGGATATTAAACACTTCATGCTCCTTAAGTGACTGAAGGTCCTTGAGTGAAACTGTCCAGAGAAACTGTGGCTGCCCCATCCCTGGAAGTGTTCAAAGCCAATTTGGACAGGGCTTGGAGCAATCTTTTCTAGTGAAAAGTATCCTTGCCTATGGTAGGGGGACAGAACAAGATGTGCTGTAAGTTCCCTTTCAACCAAAATCATACTATGGTGAGTCAAATATAAGTTCAGGGGTACCAAAAGTGAGGACATGGCATGCTGGTATTTGCATAAAAACTCTCTAAAATCATTGTTTTGCGAAATCTGGAGTACATCACCTACACAAAAAAAAAACCAAAAAAAAAAGGTAAAGTAGACCTGTTACAGTTAATTCACAAGATTACAGCTACATTTATTATGTATGATGGGGATAGTGAAAGGGTCACATCTGTTAGATGGAGCTGCTGGCAGGTTACAGCTTACAAAGGGTTGGTTCCTGGTATATTCTGTCTCCTTAAGTGGTGAGATCATGTGGAAAGGAAGAGAAGGGATTCCTGATAGATATCTAAGGTGTTCAGCTCACTTCCATTTTGTTTGAAATAAAATCATGTTCTGCATTAAATAGAATACCTTTTTTGGTTTTTTTTCAGTAGAGTGGGATAAACTCTTCAGTTACTTTTTCTGTTCTGAAAATCTTATCCTGTCACATTTCTAGGTGAGGGAGCTGCAGTCACCAGACACAGTTTAATTTCATATGAAATAGTGCCTTGGATAAGTTAGTAGTATTCTTTTACAGTTGTAATTAGCACCATTTTAATTACACTTGAAGTAATACTTAATGTCATTCTTTATTCTTTGTCCACAACCAACTTCCTGATTATTTGAGTCATTCTGGTAGGAAGGTTAACTACACATCTGTAAGAAAGCACAATATTACTTTTATTCTCATTGCCTCAGGTATTACAGAGCTGTTCTGTATCACAGGAAACAAAGATAAGAACGTACTGCTGTGTTCTCTTTGACTGATGAGCATATTATCCTAGACTTGTAATATGTTTGTGAAATAAACTTTATGGGAGAGTATGCTATGCGGGATGCTGCTTTATCCATGCTTTTTGAAAATTTTCACAGCAGGAAAGTAGTGGAAAAGAGTAGGGGGTGAAATGAAAACCATACTTGAAGTGTTCTGAGGCTGCTGAAAGGAATGAAACATCCCTTCAGCTGCTTGGATTTCTGATAGGCCTAGTGCTGCCCAGACATGGTATCAGATAAATCCTACCAATATGGTATAAATATATCAGCATGTGAGCAGAGGTGGATGAGGTTAGAGACCGGTGTCTTCTGCACAGGAGTGATGCAGGATGATGGCTTTGTGTTGTCCAGGGGGTAAACGGAAGAGGACCAAAATAGAATCCTTAATGGGAGGAAGGTGGTTACTACCAAAGATGAGGAGTTACGCTTTAATCTGGAAATCTCCTCGATCTCTGAAAAGGTCTAGAGCCAAGTTTGAATAATTGTCTTTTTGGAAGTACTGGGGTAGGTGGAGGCATTATGTAAAACAGATCATAGCTAGCAAATAGATTCTAGTTTAAAACGCAGTCCTTGTGTGGTTCATAACACACCACATGCCCTGGTTACTTCTTTGCCAGGTTGGTAATTTCAGCTTCATATTTTTCCTCTGGAACATTTGACAAACACTTAGACTTTAAAGAACTCCTGTACATTTTAGGGTTCTTTTCAGAATACTGGAAAAGTTTTTATAAAATAGTTTGCTTTGTAAAAGCAGGATATCAGTGTTTCTCAATTAGAGAAAGCTTTTTATCTCGGCAGTAGTGGGGTTTAAGGCCCCCTTTTCTTGTAAAATTGTTTGTTTCACTTTGTTTTATGTAGCAATTGTTTTTCAAAATCCAGCATTGCACTAGAAACTAACTGCCCAGCGACTTTTGTTTAACAATTATGTAAGAAGCTGCTGTTACAATTGCTCGTTAGTGAGATCCTTGAAGTCTCCATAAATAATCATTCCCAGTGGAAGGTGGTTATGGTTTAATAACTGTTTCCTGTTACATTCTTGTCCTTCTTCTGTCATCTTCCCTGTGATTACCTTGATGGATAGGAGAAGACTGTAGTAAACAACTGTAAACTTAACCTAAAGGTGCTATCCTGCTTTTTGCATACCCCCTTTCATCCACTGTCTATCAGAGTTTTGGGAAACTTTTTTTCGGCAGAACTCTTTGAAACAAAGTATTCTATGGATCCATCCTGAAAGAGGCTTAGCCCCTTGAAAACATAAGGAGGAGGGCAGTTACTGCTTTATTAACTTTGTCTAAGTATTTGAATGAGTCAGGATGGAAACTGGGGCTCACTGTGTTTGAAAAGGGCTTTTTTATTGACTTGATGAACTTGTATTCAAATTGTAATTCAGAAATTGGTTTAAAAATTGGAGGAGTAAAACTTGCATCCAGGTACAATGAATCTATTCAATATTCTGAAACTGATGCTCATGATGAGAGAAGCCCTGCAAGATTTTTAAGATAAGAGGCAGATCAGTCAGTAATACCAGGTACAAAGATGGTATAATCTTGAATACCCTATTGCCTGGAGAATGGATTTGTTAATAGATTTGGCATAGGAGGAGAAGAATTTGCTTCTAACTGGAAAGTGATGGCCAGAATAAAAGAACAGGATTGATGGATTTGTGGAAGGAAAATCACATCAGTAAGTTAAAGAGGTTTTGTGTTAACATTGCTTGTTAATAAAGATCATTCATGTGAACAGGATATTTGAAGGAGATTACTCACACCAAGATTAGCCATAGCAGATATATCAAGGACCTGGAGGAACTTTTGAAACCAATTATGTGGCTGACAGCTTTCTACAGCTGTGAGACTTGAACCTTCAAGGAGAAAATACAAACTCTTGAAAACGTTCGGGATGTAGTCTTACTGAAAAAAAGATTTCTCTTTTCCAGTCCTTCCAAAATCTCTTAAGTGGAGAAAATTGGAATCATTGTTCCATTCATGAAGTGCATTTCTTGGCTAAAAAGAATTTATTTAAAATGGCCTCATGGTTGTGTGGTATCTTTTCATGAGAGTTGTAGATGCATCAATGACTCAGACATTTCTCTTTTCTTTAGTTTTTAAATGGAGAAGACCCAAATGCTTAGATCAGGAAAATGGGCATAATGAAAGAGGAACTCCAGTTTTGCATCATGAGCAACAGCTTGGGTTGAAATTATTTTAGCTTTTGTATTAGTACAATACTTTACTATATTTTGCAACCGACTGTGACTGTTAATAGTGTTTGCATCTATTCTGCGTGAAGTGCCAGAAGCACAGAAAATACTGTGCTTTTATGGGATTGTAAGTGTTGGGAAGTAAGAATGTGTGATTATAGATTTGCAATCTGAAGAATTTAAAGATTAACAAAACGCCATAATTTAAATTTTAATGTGTTTAACTTTGTTCTCAAACATATTTATACCTCAGATGCACCATCTAAAGTCAGATCAGGTTTACTTCTGAAGCCTGTAGTGCTGCTTTCTGCAAGTACTTGTGAATTTGTACCATTCACTGCGAAAGTAAACTAGTGGCTCAGAAGCTCCCAGCTTCTGCCAGTGCAAGGTATACTGGTCTTTTGTCCCCTGATCCTTCCCTTCCAGGTTTAACTTGAATATGGCTTCTGCTTAGACTGCACCTGCTGTATCCCAGCTCTGTCCCAATGCTCCTCAAATTCTGCTCTGCCTCTTTTTCATCTCCATCCCAGTCCCAATGTCTGGAATGTGAATAGTGTTTTTCCTCCCTCAGCTCCCACGGTCTGGATCCATGTGTGCCAGTCCCCACTGCCATACAGTAAACCTAATTTCTAACAAACTGGCAGTTGCTAATAAGATTCTGAATTGTGATAATTGTTGCCATAATTGGGATTTAAGTTCCTTACTGTGCGACTGTAAATATTGCAGTCAAAATGCAATACTGGAGTATATGTTTGTTTCACACTGGAAAGCTCTTCCCAACTAACTGTTGTGGATTATTTTCTCTGCTCTCTTAAAGGGAACTTCAGGCTTACATCCCTGTGGTTATCAAGTCTAAGAGATTTAGTACTCAGCACGGGATAAAAGTGATGGCTATTTAGTGCATTTGTGGCTCTGGATGAGGTGATGTTTTCCTTGGATGTTTCTGTTTAGTGGTGGCTGTAACTTGTAGCATTGCCTGACAGCCAGTTAGTGAAGCAACAACTTGGGAATGCTACCAATAAATGTATTTGT